ATCTCTATCTCTATCTCTATCTCTATCTCTATCTCTATCTCTATCTCATCATCTCTACATATTCTTAAATACATAAAGACAATTTTCTCACTTTGTGTAGTGTTACTTATATGTCGTTTCCAAAGTATGACCATTTAATATTGGACAACTAATTAGTATGCTAACTTTGAAGAAGACTATATCCTATTTTTCCCATCCTTAGCATCCCTTAGTTTCTTGTAGTTACTTATGTGGATTAGTGGCTTCATAGGATTTTCCCTGTCCACTTTGGCATGTATATTGTTGTTGTCCTTTTTCATCTCATATAGAAACCATTACAGAAAACCACAACCAATGAAAATACAGAGCAATGCAGCCCAATCCCAATAGATATAGCTACAAAACACTCCCATAACTCTGGGGAAAAAAATGTAAAGATTGTGAGAGCCAAAAAGTCAAGGTGTTTGCTGTGAAATTAAACATTTAAAAAGACAGATCCAGTATTTCATCTCTAAATATGATATTTCTAGATGATCACCATGCAAGTTGAAACAGAGAAGTTTAACCTCTAATAGTGTCTATTTAGACATTCAAATATCTAGAACTTACAGTGTTAAGTTTTAAGTCTGAACCATTATCTCATTTCTAAAATTAAGAGTTCCTTTCACACACTACCATCTGCAGTCACAAAAGCATGAAAATAAGAATCCAGACTAAATGTAATATGTTAATAAGTTATTGCTTTTGACTTTTATTCACTCAAAAATTCAAAGTAGAGTTGTTTGGGTGTGTTCATATACTACCCTTTCTTCAAAACCAGGCTGCATGTGTTGAAGCAGACATCTACGATGAGTTTATTCTTCTACTGTTTTTTGCCATATATTTTAGACAAAGTCTCTCATTGACTTGGTACTTAACCAGTGGTTAGATTATCTGAGATTATCCTTTTATAACCTTTCAAATCACTTGAGGCTTAAGTGCATCTTCTCTGACGAGTCCAGACCTGGCGGTCTTCTGCTTTATATGTGTTGGGGGCCTCATATAAGCTGGTGTACGCTGCTCAGATGGTGTCTCAGTGTCAGAGATCTTAGGAGTCCAGGTTAGTTGAGACTCCTGGTCTTCCTATAGGGTTGCTCTTCTCCTCGACTCCTTTCAGTTCTTCCCTAATTCAACTACAGGGGTCACTAGCTTCTGTCCATTAGTTGGGTATAAATATCTCCATCTGACAGTTTTATCTGCTTGTTGGGTCTTTTGAAGAACAGTCATGATAGGCCCCTGTTTGTAAGTACTCCATAGTATCAGTAATACTGTCAGGCCTTGGGGCTCCCCAGTGAGCTGGATCTCGATTTTGGCCTGTCACTGGACCTCCTTTTCCTCAGGCTCTTCTTCATTTTTGTTCCTGCAGTTCTTTCAGTCAGGAACAATTCTGGGTCAGAATTTTTGACTGTGGGATGGTAACCAGATCCCTTTTTTTCATACTCTGTCTTTCTACTGGAGCTGGAGTCTACAAGTTCCCTCTCTCCACTGTAGGGCATTTCCTCTAAGGTCCCCCCCTTTGAGTTCTGAGAGTCTTTCACCTTCCAGGTCTCTGGTTAATTCTAGAGAGTCCCCCAACCTCCTTTATAGCAGCCTTATTTGTGATAGCCAGAAACTGGAAACAACCCAGATGTCTCACAACAGAAGAGTGGATACAGAAAATGTAGTTCATTTACACAATACTATTCAGCTTTTAAGAACAAGGATGTTATGAGTTTTCCAGACAAATGAATGGAACTAGAAAATATTATCCTGAATGAGGTAACTCAGTCCCAAAAGGATATGCATAGTATGTACTCACTAAGTAGATATTAGCCAAAAACATATAGAATTCCCAGGATAAAATCCAAAAGGACCCAAGTAAGGATGCCTCAATCCCACCTGGGAGGGAGGGAGAAGAAACAATCATGGAAGTATGGAGGGAGAGAGGGAGGAGGGAGGGAGGAACCTGGGAGTGAAAGATGACAGGGAGGGGAAAATGGGAACTTGATTAGGTATTGGGAAGGGTGGCAATAAGACTGAAGCCCTGAGGGCAAACAGAAAGCTTTATTTTCTTAACTACTTACAAAATATCTATTTACAAGCTTAATTCTACAACTAAACTGCTAACTCTTTAGAAATGTCTTTCTATCTGTTTAATACTACTGAGCTAATCTACCATTCTCTTGTGCTCTCCTGAAACTAAAAGGGCTTCTCGGCTCTCTTTCTTGGAATACTGTTTCACCTGTGTCTTGCCAGCTCCTTTTCTGTGATTCCTGCCAGTCTTGATCCATCTCTTACCTGGAGGTTCTTTAGGAAGTTCTTTTAAGACAAAAGAGGAAGAGCCCAAAGAGCAAGCCAGCCCTGAGTCCTCAAAGATTCAGTTGCCATAAAGGAAGTCTGTTGCGCCTCCCGTACACCCTTGACAATCTGAATCCTGTGACCTTCAAGGTGTGGGCTCCAAGCCAAGTCAATAGGGACCAAACCATTGCCCCTATCAAGTGAGATGGCTCAAGGCCAAGAGGCTGACATTGCCTGGGATCAGATAGCAAAGACCACAAGACCTCGACCAAGCAATTTGCCCCAGAATAGGCAGGAACATTCCATTCTTTAGCATTTTAGCTAAGGAGGCATTTACAAGCACATCCAGTCTGCGTCTCAATAGGAAACAGATATCTGTATCTGACAAATATAATATATTTTTAGGTTTCATGTTGTGCTAACAATTAGGCTTTCTATGAACAATACTGTAGTATCTTTCAACATTTCTAGGTCAAAGAACCATATTTGAGAATATACTTCCATCAGATTGGCCTGTAGGGAAGTCTATAGTGCATTTTCTTAATTCAAATGATTGATATGAAAGGGCCCATCTCACTGTGGGCCATGCTACTCCAGAACTAGTGGGCCTAGATTTGTATAAAAAGCAGACTGATCACAACAATGGGAGCAAGCCAGTAATAGGCATTCCTTCAGTTCCTGCCTCCATGTTCCTTGCTGGACTTCCTGTCTTGACTTCCCTGGATGATGGACTAAAATCTAAAGGTGAATTTCACCCTTTCCTCATATGTGACTTTTGGGAATGGTGTTTTCTCTCAGTAGAAAAATTCAAACCATGACACTACTGCTCTAGATTCAAACCCTCAAATTCTATATCAAGTACTTTATCTAATAAGGCATCTCCCCAGCTCCCCTCTACAAAGTAGACTTCTGCTACCTTTTGTTGATACGGCCATTATAATTAAAACTATTTTAATTTATGTACAACAATGAAATTAAACAGAATTGCTTGCACAGTCTTGGCTTTTTATTCTGATGCTGATTTTGGCTTCCATCCCATTCTTAGACAAAGTAAAACTCTTAATTTGCAGAGTTATTATTAAGATAGTACTAAATAACATTTTTCCAACTGATAATTTATTAAGACAAAATGAAGGTGGAAAAATGTTCTAATGTTCTTTTCAAATAGATTATTATTCAGTTATTCCAAGTGAGCTTGACTTAGTTATCCCTGAGCAGAAGAAGGTGTTAAGTGCATGTAAATGAGTCACAGATAGAAATCCATATAGATAAAGAAGTGTGACAGAAAGCCTAACCTGAGAGGCACTTATTACTTAATATTAAGTATAATTTTATTTAGAATTGAATCAGGCCTAATCTATCTTTTTTCACTGGACGTCATCCTCTGAAGATTCAGCAATCAATATGATTACACATCTATTGTGATAATTCACATTGGTCTTTTATTAAAACTAGGAACTGACATAGTAAAGGAAAGAAAGTTTCATTGTTTTCTAGAATGTTTTTATGGTGATAGATTTTGACAAAAAGCAACCCAGAAGACTTAGAATTTTGCCAGATGATGTAACATGGACAGGGCTACTTAAATTGGACAAAAGTCCTGGATATAAAAAAATGTATCTTGTCAAGATATTGAAGATTACACAACAAAGGACAGTGACCTTCAAGGGATAAT